AGGACAGCAGTAACGGAAGTAATTTCAATTTTAATTTTTAATTTTTATAATTTAATAATTAATTTTCAATTTTTAATTTTTATAAATCAATAGATAGATTAAAGACCGATAAGTACTTTTCAAGTGTGTCTCTGAAGATCAGATTTGGACCAGTTGAATTGATTGTACCGGTTCCGCCGATCAATGATGCATGGGCGACGATCAACATCAAACATTTACAGAATCCTGAAAATCAGTCGTTTATCCTACACTGCTTTGGTTGGGCACACAAAACCTTTTTTAGGAATGGTATACAGGAGAATAACTCCCGTATAGGTGACATAAGCGTTGGCTGTGTCTACCCACTCGATGAGCGTGGACTGAGCTCCCGAGAAAAGCGGGTTTTATGCTGACTGCTACCGAATGCTGACAAATGGCAATGTAAAGGAGTTTGAGAAGTTCATTAAAGTGGACTATTTGTGGTCATGTAAGTTGAAGGAGAGTCATTTCCAGATTATATGCAGTCGTTATCACTGAAGTTGGTCGAGGTGTGTCAGGGGGCGTGGGTTTTGGTGCGAAGCCAGCCCGTATTCTATCGATCGATGCTGCTTCGAGGGCTCAGAAGCACGCGCCACGTGAAAACGCGGTATACAGTATATCTACGGGTGTGCTGTTTCTTTTCCTTGTATACCCTGCAAACTAGCCCTTAACAACGTGCGGTGGTATTTTGAGTCCATTGGGTTTTCTGTTACATATGAAGATCATTTTTTCAAAGTAACAGGAAAAAACCCTTGCGTCTCGTTTTTTGAATAATCGCTGAAACGCTTCAGCTTCTGAGATTTGGCCTGCAAATTAATTTTTAGTGTCAAAATACGAATCGGTCCAATTCACAAATTCCGTGTCTGAGAGGGTGTAAGTTGCTTACCTTATCTTAGTTCCATTTTTTGCCTGCAAGTTATGACAGTAATCCTACTGTGACCCACCGTTCTATTTTGCTTGTGATAAGGCACGGTCACTGAACTATCGTGATGTCTTTGGGCGCGATCAGGCCTGCCAACTTTGCTTCCCATTTGCCCTCCCTCTCATTCTCGCGCAACTGCTCCTCGGTTTTGGAGGTACCAGGAGAAGGCATTAGTGAAGGCTTAGTGTTAGGCCTAAACCCGCCATACTAACCACTGGGACCAGGCCTTTGAAGGATTGTGTGAACATCGCCATTGTGCTTCTACATTGATTCTACACCTCTGACGTTCCAAATGAAGTAATCTAAACCTTCTTTACATGTTCGCCATCGCGTCCTGCAAAAGCCAATGGTCGTGGCCGTTCATCGACAGAGGTGCCATCTTGTGGATCATGATCGCTTCAAGAAGTGCATATGCGATTGGGGCCATGAGAGCCGCACAGGCCGTGTCCGAGATCCATAGTGATCTGTAAGATAGGCCTCTACTGACAAATGATACTGCACTGCCCGTATGAAGAGGTCCCTTTGTTAGAATTTTTCACAAAAAGCTTTCTGCATGCCTAGGAGTTAATCAGTATTTAGCTATTTTCATAAAGCAGTTGTTAGTCGCTCTGAGGATGCAGGTCAGGAGATCCAAAATGCTGAAAGAAGCGACGTTTCCAACGACATCGCGTCCGCAGCATTGGAACTAATCGATTCGGCGAGAATGTGCTACAGTGGATCGAGCCAACTAGCTAGGAAAACCACATCGAGTCAGTTTGTGCATGTCAGTATGACTTGAATCTCCTGACCCACATTTGCCGTGCCTACCGAGATCAAACTCACATAAATGACGTAATCATCATGAAACCAGCCAAGAGCCTGAAAAACTGGTCGAATCCAGCAGTGATCGCGGCAGATTTGGAAAGGACAAAAGATAGAGAGGCCGGCATTGTTCAACTAATTGTTGGGTTGGCTAGAAGTTAAACATTCATTTTATTTGTTTGAGGACTCAGTTGTGCATTCCCCATTTCCTAGAAATGAACGGGGCGTGGCCGCGTACTTGATTCGAAGGTGGGCCATGGCTGCACTGCTGATGCGATGGGACAACTTCACGCTTTTTTCACATCAGAAGACGACAATTGATGACAATTGCATCTAAGGATAAGCTCCCACTACCCTGGGTCCAAATGAAGTACGCAGCGAGCAGCCACGCCCTGTCCATATCCGGGGTATGAAGTGTATTTGGTCTATGAATTCACATGTGGGGGTCAGCTAACGTGTGTACCATGTCTTGGGTCTCGCAGTGGAACCTGGTACCAGTCAGTTCACCAGTGGAAGATAGAAAGCCAAATGGGCGTTTACCACTTCGGAGGGGGGGGGGCAGTTGAGGGACTTGGTGACTAGATGAGACTAAGTTCACTATTGAATTGATCTGGAAGATAGTAACTTTTGCACAGAGAATCGAACATGACTTCACCGCCCCCTCTACCCCTCCTCCCCCCAAAGCTAACAGGCCCCTAACATTGGCCTGAGCCGCGTCCAGTTGGCAATTTGATTTTTCGACTCACAGACCACTGTAAAAGCGCCACTAATATCGTAATCGCAGTGTCAGCGTATGGGCAAAAATCAATAAATTGATTGTAGCGATGGAGTGCTTACCACTGAGGTTTTGCGCCGACGAATGTCAGCATTTTCAAGGCAATCCGCTTGTGAAGGTGACACTCTTCCACAGCCAACGATAGCATCAGACTTGTCACAAACAACATGTTTGTGTCCTAAAGGTTATAGAAAAATATGATCGGCGAGCTATAGAAGGTTCCCACGGGCACACTTAAACGAACGTCGTAGGGATTCCGCGATTTCTTGATGGGCACCACATGCCGAGTATGAGATGAGAGACGGGGCAAAAATGACGTCAACCCGCTAACGGGACCACTTCGCCAACCCAGTAGCACGACATCAATAGAATACAGTAGGCACATTTACCTTCCTGGAAGTATGGACTGTAAATATTACTGATAGGTTTCAACCTGACCGATCAAGTACAAATCAACTGATCTTGTAACAAGGGCGTGGCTGCGAGAGCAGCGGAAGATGCAGGCGAAAGAGAATTGTTTGTATAAGAGAAGAGTATCATCACTGGAATGCGCAATCGTCACGGGGCACTTTCTACCACCCTTTGATACGAACGATAGGCAAAGCCATATTGCAGATATGGAGAGGTTTGGCTGCTTCCGTTTGAACATCGTGAGGATTTGTGTTTTCGTTGAGTCCCGCAGCTGACACCTGCTACTGCTTTTTGCTACAAAAATAAACACACATAACAAACTTCCCCAAAGATAAAATTGAGCACCCACCGCGTTCAAATTACGTAGCGGCAACGCGGCAACGCCCTCTTCAGCTCCGGATATAGTGTAGAAATAGCTGAAAAGACCGAGAACTGATACCTGGCCACAAAACACGAGTGGAAGTAGCAGAACTGGAGCAACAAATATCCAGATCGTCTTGAAATACGTTTTGCACTCACGCATAATCATGCCTATCCGCCCCATTTACCCTGAAAGAAATAAACTGTTTGACATAGTTAGGAAGTTGTTAGTTAAAAAAAGCGGTTCGCATACTGTTAATCGTCTCGGGAAATGAGAAAATATTGTAGGGGCAACTCGGCTTGCTGGAGGCATCAAATGGAAGTTCGCGAAGAGCGAAGAGCGAAGAGGGCACAGACTCTTTTGTGAAGACCAAAGAATCCCTGTTGCTAAAGTGGCTTACATGCGCCATTTAGCAGCTCCGCAAGAGGAGGTCTCACAGGTCTCACTTGGTGTCCTGTTATTCAGCATGAGCTAGCAACAGGAACTATAGAAAGTGCAATAAGCCCCTCCCAAGCCACACAGCACTAGAAAATTTTCTGGTCAAGAGAAAGCGAATCAAGTGGACTCTGCTTATTTTGGACTACTTGTACGCTGTCTCCGCTGTCCCGAATCGCATGGAATTTCATGAATTCCGGAGAGCGGAATATAGGGGAATCGAGTTGTGAAGTACGGAAGGCCGAAGACTGATTTATGACATAAGGGCACCCTTCATTGACGTTATCTAACAGATAATTTGGGCGCAGTTTGTCGACGAGGGGGCATTTTGCTTTCCATAGATGTGTCGACCCATCTAGGTAGCCGTTTCTCGAGTTGACACGTTTTAGGATAGTGGCTAGACGATCTTACTTCAGCTTCACAAGAGTTCACAAGTTTTACCAGAGTGAGATTTGTAAACCGGAACTAGGGAAGCAATGATAATACAAAATGCCCCCCCCCGTCGACAAACAGCGCCGAAATTTGTATTGAAAATGGCCACAAGTGAGGAGGTAGGAACTCAAGGAGTTTCAGTTCTGAAGAACAGTTACAAAGGCATGCAGAATGTCAGACAGCTACTTCTACTCCCCCACCTCCCGCCTGCGCATGCCATTAGCAGTAATACTTGGCAAACCATACAAGAAACCGAAAAGCGGCACTAATAACTGACAAACGATTGAGAAATCAGAGAAAAGTTATCAAACCACGTTAAGCTCCAATTTGTCGGTCGACAATTCAATTTTACCTGCGGATGAGCTGGAAATAGCGTTGGTTGTGACCTCGTGGCAGCGCCATGATCAAGAGCTCGATCAAAATGAAGCGAGATGGTAACTATATACAACGAAAA